CAGGAATGAACAGTGCACTCGTCCTAGGTCATCAGTCACTCGCAAGCACGGCGCTGCACCGTACCCAGACCCATTTGCATCGACGGAGTAATTCGCCTGAGAAGAAACATCACGCTCCGCTCCGGGGCATTCGGAATGCGAGATTTTTGTTTTGTGCCTTATGAGTGTTTTCTCGTATTGAAATGAACATTTGCAGCCCAAAATGGGCCCTTTTTGGACACGAAAAGATTCTCTTGTGAGTATAAGATAGCCCTTTCCGGACCATACATGGACCCTCTATGCTTGCCTTGGTAGCACAATAAGCGAATACCGCGACGTGCCCGAAGGGCTTTTGGGCCATCTGAAATCATGGAGGGAGAAAGATAGCTTTGCTCTCACTTTAAAAGATGAGTGCAGATTGCCCCTGACGCGCCACCACCCTTGACACACGCCGCCACTGTCAACGATGCTTGGGTATCAGTGATAAGTGGGACAATGGTAAATTTTTACTGCGTACAAGAGAAACGTCAGAGCTGTAGGCTACCGAGTGGCCTTAAGACGCTGCTAATGACTGGAATTAGGCTCTGTGATTTGTCCTGTTGTGGCCATTGTAATAGCTTACCATTATGGCTGCCGCGATGAAGGGCTAACGCCGCAAGTGGTTTTATACGTTTGCACCATTATTTGACACTTGGGTCTGGGCCTGTTAGTTTACATGTTTGACTGGCTTTCATCCCCTCGTTTTATTGCGCATGCAGTCCACAGCGATTTGTACTCATGGCGTTTGAAGTAAACTGCGCGGTTTGTGAGTCACATACCTCAACGAACAAACTGAAACAATCCTGGCTGCTGGATCATGGGCCGCTTAGAATGAAAACCTGACCTCCTTTCACCTCGTCATGATTTGGCTCCTAGACTCGTTGTTACTTGTCTGCTTGTATCAAACGGCGCTTTTTCTCGGCTGAGACTACGCACAGAAGGTGGACATAAGCTGCCATTTCTGATATGAAAAGGCAACGGATGAGATCCTGCAGGAATTCTTCAGCTTTATGTGCAATGTCTCTGACCCAGATTTAGATTCATCACGTGGTGCTGATTTATTTAAAGCCCATGTTCACCGTGTTGATGAGGTTTCCGGCGGGGTACAACAAGAGAGTGCTCCTTCTGTCTGGTCTGCGTCAGCGCCGTTCCTTCCATCCGGTCTGCATCATACAACCGCTGACGCATTGCCTACGGCGGATGTTCGGCAAACGGACCCCTGTTTCCCAAGTCCAGCTTGGACTATCCATGTACGCTGTGTTGACTGGTGATGCTCCACCCCCCCCCCCCCACCCCTCCCCCCCCCACCAGCACGGGCCCGCCGTGACCTGTTGGTGACCCACCGGGCCAGCCGGCCGGGCTCTGGACTCCGTGGAGCCTGCCCTGTCGCCGACGCGGTCTTGGGGATCCACCGCGATGTGGCCGCCCCACGGGCGGCCCGACCCCGTGGCGGTTGGCTGTCCTTGGTCCCAAGTTTGGCCTGGGCTCGGCAGCACCCCACTGTGACCGCCAGGCCGAGGCCGACTGCCGACCGATGTCCCCATTTGGCACAGGCTTTCAGCAGTGCTATTGTGCGCGGCCAATTTTACCGTGCTCTGCTTCATGGGAATCGGTGTATCAGCATGTCGTGTTGGTCCATGCTTATGAGACTTGAAATAAATTCCGACCACTTCGTTTAATGGTGTGTACTTGGCTTGAAGCGCTCCGTTTGCAGGGGTCATTTGACACTGTACCGTTGGACGATCTCAACTAATGTGTGTCCGATTTTAGGAGAGCATCGAGTACATCTTCCTCGTGATATTCACGGCCGAGTGTATGATGAAGATCATCGCGTACGGCTTCCTGCTCCATCCAGCTGCTTACCTACGGAACGTCTGGAACTTACTGGACTTTAGCATAGTTGTTATAGGGTAAGGGGTTATGCAGATCTTAACGAGAAAGTAACGGAGTCCAGCCAACATTTCTTAACAGCGTGTAACTTATCTTATGCGACTGATCGATAGAAATAATTATCGCTGTTCTACTATAAGGTGTTTTTGTAATTATTGCTGATTTATGTTAAATCACGAATCTCAGTATAGCCTGTTCAACACAGTAAATTTCATGCTAAAACATTCACACATCCCACTTCCACATGCTGGTTTTCCTCGCAGCCCCGGTAAGACATATTTTTATTCGAGTGCTGACGCGGGGCAGCAGCTTACGGGGTGTGTAAATTGCCGAGGACATTTCACAGGCGTGCACGTCCTGGATATTGTTGGCACAAGCTCTTCTTTGCTCCCGGGAGCGGCTTGTCGCGGCGCCAGGCGGAGTTGGCGTCCGGCGCTGTCCGTGTGTGTATCGCTCCACCGCTCACCTGTTGATCGTGCCTTTCGTGTTTGGCAGTTTAATTAGTACGGCCCTGTCGTCGCTCATTAAGGAGGGCTTCGACGTGAAGGCACTGCGGGCGTTCCGAGTGTTGCGACCGTTGCGGCTCGTCTCTGGAGTACCCAGTAAGTGGTCCCGCGGTCACCCGATGTGGGTCAGTGACCCTAGGTCGGGTGTACTGACCTGATGGACATCTGCAGCCCAGGCACTGGCCCTGGACTGCCCTGTGGCTGGTTCGGGAGCTGGGGTCCCGGCGTGCCTTGGACTGCCCTGTGGCTGGTTCGGGAGCTGGGGTCCCGACGCGCCCTGGACTGCCCTGCGGCTGGTTCGGGAGCTGGGGTCCCGGTGTGATTCACGTCAGCAAGTTGCTTGTCTTCGAAGAGGGCCCAAAACTCAGCCCCGGGCATGATGCAATGACCTGAACTGTGCTGAGGCAGCGCCGTTTATTCCAAGTGTATCCGTTGATGCATGTGTAGTAGATGCATGCAACTGAGTACATTAACTGATTATGCCTGGTCAAAAAGCGTATGTTTGTATATGGACATATGTAGGAGCACACGTCTGTATGCGTACCTTTATGCGCCCAAGGCTGTGTGCTCGTACGTGTGAAGGGCCCTAACCGTTCTCCAAACTCCCACCTTCTGCAGCGAATCGCGATCGCTGACGATACAAAACAGCACCTTCGATCTGGTGCATATATGTCAACCTATCCACTTGCCGATACAATAAAGTTTAGATGAAGTCCGAGAGCCGTCGGAGCCGGCCGGCTTCTTCGCACAATAGCGGTGCTGAGTGCACTCAGCCGCAGCCGCCGCTCCCGCATTGGACTTCCGACACCTCGAATGCCCTGAGGCCCAACACAAAGCCGAACGTTCGCACCGCGGCGTATCGTAGGCGCCCTCCCCCCCCCCCTCCCTGCTCGCGCCAGCATTTGTTCGCGCTTGCCGAACACGCGTCGGGGGCCGCAACTATCGCCGCGTTAGTAGCCCCCCTCCCCGCCCCCCGGCCGGAAGCCTGAAGACTGCTGAAGAATTCAAATAAGCACGTCCAGCGCCGACTGCGGGGTGTTTTTTTCGGCGCGGCTGCAGCCTGATGATTCGCTCACGGACGACTCTCTGCGAGACCGCTGGACGGTTAGGCGGCGCTCACTGTGACGCCGTGTCTGTGAGAACGTTCGACGATTGAGCTGCACTCGCTGTAACGCCTTGTCTCTGTGAGACCGTTAGACGGTTGAGCTGTGCTCACTGCGACGCCATGTCTCTGTGAGACCGCTGGACGGTTGACCTGTGCTCACTGTGACGCCTTGCCTCTGTGAGACCGTTAGACGGTTGAGCTGCGCTCACTGTGACGCCATGTCTCTGTGAGACCGCTGGACGGTTGACCTGTGCTCACTGTGACGCCTTGCCTCTGTGAGACCGTTAGACGGTTGACCTGTGCTCACTGTGACGCCTTGCCTCTGTGAGACCGTTAGACGGTTGAGCTGTGCCCACTGCGACGCCATGTCTCTGTGAGACCGCTGGACGGTTAACCTGTGCTCGCTGTGACGCCTTGCCTCTGCGAGACTGTTAAACGGTTGAGCTGTGCTCACTGTGACGCCTTGCCTCTGTGAGACCTTTACACGGTTGACCTGTGCTCACTGTGACGCCTTGCCTCTGTGAGACCGTTAGACGGTTGAGCTGCGCTCACTGTGACGCCGTGTCTCTGTGAGACCGTTAGACGGTTGAGCTGCGCTCACTGTGACGCCGTGTCAGTTTTACCTATGTGTGTTATGCAACAACGTGCGCCATGCGGAGGATCGACTCAGTGGGTGTCTCGCTCGTGTTGCAGGTTTGCAAGTCGTCCTGAACTCCATCCTCCGAGCCATGGTGCCTTTGCTTCACATTGCGCTTCTTGTGATATTTGTTATCATCATCTACGCCATTATTGGGCTGGAGCTTTTCAAGGGAAAACTCCACAACACGTGTTTCCACAACGTCTCTGGTAAGCTGACATCAGATATGTTATATAACCCTAATTATGTGATGCTGAATAAAAACGGATGGTTACATTGTGCAGTATACGCGCCATGACTTTGTGAAGAGCAAACTCCTTACTGGTTCGGGCGCGTAAATCATGTTCTTCGTCAGCCGTTATCAGGAAATCTTGTACCCAACGCGTGTGTATTTTGACAGCGCGCATGCGCATGCGTCCGGATACCGGATCAGACCCAGCCGTACGTGGTCAGTTTGAATATCACGCGCAGCCGTGCGTGCTCAGTCTGAATATCACACTCAGCTGTACGTGCTCAGTCTGAATATTGCACCCGGCCGTACATCCTCAGTCTGAATATCACACCCAGCTGTACCTGCTCAGCCTGAATATCACACCCAGCCGCACGTACTCAGTCTGAATATCACACCCAGCCGTACGTGCTCAATCTGAATATTATACCTAGCCGTACGTTCTCGGTCTGGAGAAGTCGGCAACGTCTATGCTATGTATATCTATGTTCTCCACCTCGTTTAATTTCACCTACTGCTAGTGTGCACAACTTTCTTTGTACCAGGAATTTCACGAGGCTGTTTTGTTGAGTTATGTGCGGGCTGTTGAAGAGCAGCACGCCTAGCTTGTAACAGTGCTAGTTAGCGCTCCCCAAAACATTAGGGAGACAACCATGGAATGCACTGTTAAATTGAATAGGGTAACTTTGGGGTACACCGATGCGATCACGTATGGGCTTGGCATACGTCACGGCGAGGTCAGCTATAGCATGACAGATAGAAATCGAGTCTGATTCCATCAGCTATGGGTGATCGATGCGGGTCGAGGATTGGTGACAGCCCCTCGGCGGATGTCACACCAGCGCTGGCTCCGGGCTGGTAGAAAGCAGTCTGTGGAGTCTGCTGAAAGGTCTCGAAAAGTTAGACAACCAAAGCTGCGCCGTACGAGCCCGCTTCGTATGGCCGCATACCTACATGCTCGGGCAGCCATGTGACGGTTGCTGCAATTCATGGTACGCAACACGAGCGTGCGCCGCCTCTCATGCTGCATTTGAGAAAGTCGCGCTGTGAGTGAGAGGCGTCACGCTGCGTGTCCAAGTCTCTTCTGCAAGGGAAACGTTGCGTTGCTCTGTCCACGTGCTCTTTTGCAGGGGAGATGATGGATGACCCGTCACCGTGCGGCCCCAACGGCTACCAGTGTCCGTCGACCTACCACTGTGCGGGACACTGGGAGGGCCCCAACTTCGGCATCACCAACTTCGACAACTTCGGCCTGGCCATGCTGACCGTGTTCCAGTGCATCACCATGGAGGGCTGGACAGACATCATGTACTATGTAAGTGTCTTCGCAGGATATACCGCAGGTGGATGTCGCTGTCCTGGGTCTCTGAAGGATTTACATTGTACGCGCAGGCAGTGTTTGGCAATATGTCAGTTTAAGTGTGCTGTGCGGAGACATATGAAGCCATGTGATGTCTGTTCATTGTACAAAAATTCTGCTGACGCGAAGTATATGACCATACTATGATAAAAATGTTTGCTCTGTGTGGACAATGTCAAGTTGTACATCGTGCATCTGTAAGTGCCACTGATAAGCCCTGGACAGTATAGCTGTCCAGGGCTTATCAGTGGCACTTACAGATGCACCATGTATAGCAGAGTAGGTATAGCTGTTACTATGGCTGCCACGCAGGTCACTATGCATAAAGATTGTGCTACAGGCATATGAACTTACTGTTGACGAGTATGACAAGTAGTTGTTTAGTGTTGCACTCGAACTCCACCACGGAAAGGCTCGCTTTAAGCCGCCAAAAGTAAATAATACGGGGTTAATTGATCGGCTGGCTATGATAATGGTGATATGATGCTGCGTACACTATTTCCTAACACACCGCTTACAACTATTGTTCGCTGTTTTCTACCAAAAAATAGGTTTGATTTCACAACCACCCTGTGTAATAAATCAGCCACGCATGCCACGTGGCGCTACC